GCATGTATCTTTCTCCGGGGGACTCACTGCAACTCTAGCCATGCCCAGCAGAGGGGAAAGTGAGATAAAGGTGGTACCTACAATAAACAGCCTCCAGGTGTGCACTCAGGTTCCAGGCCAGAGCCAGGTCTCCAGGTGCCACTCAGGGTAAGTATGTGAGTCAAATGAACATGGGTCCCTGGACGTACTGGAGAGGTGTCCCAGCTGTAGGGGTTGCTTGTCATGTCATGAGTTGGCCCAGTTACCATGTGAAGCCTGATGAGACATGTAAACACTGTCACAAATACACCAGCTTGGGGTGCCCCAGAGGTCACCTCCAGGAAGTGAATTCATCCTGGTATTTTGTACTTGGTTAGAACTGAGGATGCTGCAGCTCACTGCCATCCACAACACTCCCATTCTCTGGACACTACAGATACATTCTGGGACCTGTCTTCCCCCTGCTGACCAGTGTCAGGCTCTTTTGAGGCTCATCACAAAACCTCTGAGACACTGCAGGTACATGGGACAGGAGAAATGTTTCTCTGAGCCAGAAAGGGCTTCTTCCCATGATATTTCCCAGGAGAGGGATCCCTTATGGTTTAGTGCCCAGAGACGGGCCTCTGTTTCATCACTCCTTAAAACTTCAGGGTCACAAACCCCAAAGTGGTGTCTGGACACAGGATCCCAGCACAACCCCAAGCCCAGTACTCAGGTGCTGCTCTGGTCTGCCTAGGGCACCCAGAGGGGATGGAACACTCAGGGAGAGGACACAGCAACTGGAGCCAACAGGGATGTGGAGATCACTAACAGAGGCAGAGACACTGTTGTGGGTTGAATTGTGTCCCCAACATTTATGTATTGAAGTCCTCACCCTAGTACCTGTGAATGGAAACAGGAACTTTGTGGATGATCAAGTTACAATGAAGTCATTAAGGCTAGTCTTAATCTACTATGATTGTGACCTAATAAAAGAGGAGTTTAGACACACATATGTACACAGGGAAGAAGGTTTAAAAAGATTAGAACTTTGCTGTCATAAGCCAAGAAACTACCAGAACCTGGAAAGAGGCTGGAACAGATTCTTCTCTAGTACCTTCAGAAGGAACACAGCTATGCTGACATCTTTATTCCAGCCTTCGGGTCTTCAGAAGTCTGAGACGAAAAAAAATCTGCTTCCCTAAGCCTCCTAGTTTGTGGCATGTTTTATGGCAACCCAAGGACACAAATAAAAGCATGATCTGCTCTATCCACCACTCAGTCACCAAATCACAGCCACCCAGGAAAATGTAAGGGCCTTTCACAGGCCAAAGCCACTGTTCCTGCCTTGACTGTCTCAGAGTAAGCACTCAGCCTCCTGGGGCCAGTGAGAAGATGACAGGAGCAATAGTGTCCATGGAGACATCCTTGGAGCCATCCCTGAGTCTCTGCCTGGTATCCTTAGATTCCGCATTCTTTTTGCAATCCTAAGCTCCACACATTACAGGACCAATGGTGTAACTCAACACAACAATACAGAAATAGAGGAAGGGGGCCATAGTGGACATCTGTTTTTGTCTTTGTTTTGACAACCAGCATTCACAGTTGTTTTTCTGGAAAGACTATCTCAAGTGTCCTCCAGGAAACTCACCCAATTTTTTTTTTTTGAGACAGAGTCTCACTTTGTCACCCTCAGTAGAGTGCCGTGGTGCTACAGCTCACAGCAACCTAAAACCATTGGGCTCAAGCTATCCTCTTGCCTCAGCCTCCCAAGTAACTAGTACTACAGGTGCCTGCCACAGTGCCTGGCTATTTTTAGAGATGAGGTCTCACTCTGGCTTAGGCTGGTCTCGAACTCATGAGTTTATGCAATCCACCTCCCAGAGTGCTAGGATTACAGGTGTGAGCCACCATGCCAAGCCCAACTCAGATTTTTGAGTCCCAGTCTGTACTAGTGCAGCTGCCTTCTCTCAAGACTGCTATTTTAAGGATGCCCAGTTTTAGCCAAAAAGAGCATTCTATAAAGGTCCATGATGAGCCACCAAGTATCTGAAACCCTGCTTCACAGTCCAGGATTCTGCTCTGGATCATAGGCAGCAGGTATTCTGGGAGATATCTACCATGGCCCCCCAGGCCCATGAAGATGACAGGTGGCACCCCCATCCTTACAGGTGAACTGTACACACTAAGAGTAAGTTCTTACATGTCATCCTCAAGCAAAGATAGAAGGAAGGTAATGAGGTCACCTTGCCTAAAGAAGGGGCTTCCATGCTTGACTACAGCCTTGAAGATACTGCTTTAGTACCTGAAGATCATCCCCATGTATTCTTCTGCCAAATGACATCAGTAAACTCTTTAGTACCCTGATCAGCCTCAAAGAAGTGGCATCTGGGTCAGACTGGGAAAAAGGGAGCAGAACAGGGTCAGTATATAGGCAGAATGGGGCATAAAGTACCTTTGTTCCACAAGCAAGGGCATTCTTTCCCATTTTCATTTTTTTTCTTACTTTCCCACCCACTCTAAGACATTTTTTTCTTTCTCTTAGCTTTATTTCACCCTTGGAGGTAAGTGGCTGTCTAGTTGCCATTCCTACCACTGACAGCTTGATAATTCTTTTGCTGTGCAAATGTCATCAATCTGGGAAACCTGAAGAAATATCCAGGAAGGAGAAACACTTCCCCAAGGTGACTTTCTAGTAAAGAAGAAACCCCATCAAGTTCCAAGTGTGCTTCATCAACACATCAGCATACCCCACCTCAAAAATTCTTAGGCAGCATCTACTGTGTTCCTAAGATCCTCCTCCAACCAGTTCAGCATCCACCGCACCAGTAACCCCCCAAACACTCCCCCCCACCGGTGTTATCCTCTGATCACTCACGACATTTTCTTACAAGTGATTAAGCCACTATTCAAGTTTCTGAAAGATAACGACCATCATTTTTACCTCTCTAGGGGACATGAAACAGGCAATGAGGAGGGAGGTGTGAGCTTCAATATAATGCCATAAAAGAAAAGCTAAGAGATAGAAAACAAAGCCCATCTTCTCAACCTTTATCAGGCAGGGAAAGGGGTTTGGGGATACATGATATCTAATCTTCCACAAGAGCTCCAGGGGACTGGCCACCTATTGGAAGCCAAAATAGGCAATCAGGAAGAACTAAACTAACTCCTACCTTTCCCTATTGAGCACAAGCTCTAAGTTATACAAAACTATGCCCACAATTCAGCACAAAGAAAAGACACCATTCATATTAGAATACTTACTGCGAGGAATCTATTCATTCTCAATGAGGATAATCAATATTATTTTGGTGGAGTAAATTTTCCTCTCTAGAAATGCACAGAAACCATTTTCCAAATCATAGAGACCAGTAAGCAGTAATATAGCTGGCAAAAGGCACCTGGCCAACTTGACACCTGCAGGCAGAGCTTAGATGGGGCATGGACTCCCAGTGGGACATGGATGGGAAATGCTCTTGACAAAATAGGGAGCTTCCCTTTTCTAGATAATGTTTTCTGGGTTTAGAAATCCATTGCCAAAAGTGAATCATTTCCTTTCTGTAACTGAAGACAGAAAACAGTCTGCAAGATGGAAACTGAAAAGCTAAGCTGAAGCAGTACAGCTGACCTCATCTGGTCAGCTCACATTATTTTCCACCACCACCCCATTCCACTGTCATTGGCCACTTAAGGTTTCACTATGATTGTGAGGATGTTTACCTCAGTAAGCTCTGAGGAGTTTACAAACACAATACATGAAAGGGCAGCACTTGACCAGCAGAGATCTCATAGACCACCAACGCTTGTACAAAAGGTCTTTATTGGTGAGGGAGGGATGCTGCAGACCAGCACGAAGGAGGAGGGAGGAGAGAAAATAAAAGAGAAGAGAAAAGAGGCGAGCAAAGAGGAGAGAGAGAGAAGAGGAAGAGGAGAAAAGGAGGAGGGACTAAAACAAAAGTGCACCCTTGTATAGGTTCAGCTAGGGGAAGTCTCAGAATAGTGAGGGGATGGTAGAATAGCCAATAAGGAGTTACTGCTCTGGCAGGAAGAGCTGTTAGGGGTAGGCCATAAGTTTGAAATTTTCAGGGGGTAATGGGGACAGGGAGATGAGGCAGGTTTTACAATTGGGAGATAAGGAGATGTTTAGCGGATAACTCCCTGTTAAAAGGAGCTGTAACTTTAAGAGTGAGACAACTAGTCTTGGTCTGTTTGAAAGCAGGAAGGGGCTTTCAGGGGAAGGGACTTTTCTGGGGCAATTACCTGACAATACATGTCATGATAAAGATTACTTTGATGATAATTTTTTTCTGATGATTCTCTTAGATATTTCATTAAAATGAAAATCATGGTCCTGTTGTTTAAACATTTTGCATTATTAAAGCAAAGACTGCTTTGATGTTACTCCCTATCAGATAGTTAAAAATGTCTAGGTCTGTTTCCTTGTATTTCATTATAAAAGTTATTAGAATTGTAACTGAGGAAGCACAGAATTGAGAGCTGTTCTTGCGCTATTCTCCAGAATTGCTGGCCTTGTGACAGATACAGTTTGGTGGACCTATACCCATCTCTGCATATTGGCTGAGAGAGAACCTCTTCAACCAGTAACAAAACGTTCAGGAGAAAGCTGTCCATGTAGTGAGTGACAGCGTTGCAGAAGATTTGGTCCCAAGTGTTTCCTCCTTCTGCTGCCCTCAGCTGTCCGCACGTTCTCTGGGTTGATCCAGCAAGCTGCCAGATGAGAGGGTTTCAATAGGAACAGCTGCTGACCAGACCCTAGGCACTACCCAAGGTAAAACAGGCAATCTCTAGCTTTCCCTGGATTTCTGCCCTAGACGCCCATAAATATGTACAATCGCAACGTGTCAACTATAATAAAAAGTTAAAAATACCCTGACCAGCGGGTGGTCGGCCTGGGGGACTGACTTCCCAGGAAGCAGGTCCCACAAGGCCTGTAACTCTGGGCTGGCGTATTTCCGGCGCGCCTGCGGAAGTGACGTACGGATGAAGGCGACGCGCTACAGTCCGGCCTGTGTGCTCTCGCCGGAAGTGGCTGCTACCGAGGCAGATTTGGAGTTTGTCAGGTCCCGGTACGCCGGCCTGGAGTTGTGCACCATGCGGCTGGGCTCCGGGACCTTCGCTGCGTGCTGCGTGGTGATCGAGGTGCTCGGGATCGCAGTCTTCCTTCGGGGATTCTTCCCAGTTCCCGTTCGTTCCTCTGCCGGGGCGGAACACCGAACAGAGCCCCCAGCACCCGAACCCTCGGCGGGTACGGACCCCTTCCAGGGCGCCTCTGCTCCCGGGTCCCACTTACCACAAAGGACGCGTTTTCCGAGCGTCAGCGGTCCCGGGTGGTCTCTTACGTTGTGCCCCGCCCCTCAAACGTGTCCTGCGTTTTTCTCTGTATCTTCCAACTTTGTGACAACACCACTACCGGTTCCCCGCCTCGACCTTCCTTCCCGATCACGCGATCCCACCCCTCTCTAGCTCTACTCACCTGTGATTCTGCCTCCTCTTTTCTGAGCAGCCTTTAGGGTCACTCTCTGTTCCGGGCACCCCCTTTGCCAAATAGGACGCGACAGATAAGATAACCTGCTAATCTCCTCGCGTTTTCTTCTGTGAGATTTCTCCAAGACTTTCCCCCGCCAAATGACTATGGCCTTTCTGCATTAGCCTTCTCGTTAGCTCTCACCTACCTGCCCAGTAACACACCATGTAAAGTTACTGCTCTGGACCAAATGGACACAATACCAGCCACTGACCACATAAACAGTGTAAACTCTGGCTCACTTTCTACCTGCAGCACAGTGTTTTAGGTCAATGTCCTACCCATCTCAGTACCATTATGTAGGGACTTCTCTGTCCCAGTACTCCTCACCATGCTGAGGGCAGTTCACTACTTTATACAGAGTCTCCCTAAGATTACCTAACATTAACACCGCCCTCTCCCCAGTACTGCTTACCAATAACAGGCCTCCTTTGGGGTTGGAATAGGTAGATAGGGCAGAATGTGTGCTACAGAAGTAGGCACAAACTACATTATAAAGTTGCTTGAAGACTAAGTTTAAAATTCAATTTCCTGTTTTATTTTCAAATACTTAGGATCCAGTTCTAACTGGACCAAGCTTCCGCCGCCTCTCTTCAGTAAAGTTGTTATTGTTCTGATAGATGCCTTGAGAGATGATTTTTTGTTTGGGTCAAAGGGTGTGAAATTTATGCCCTACACAACTTATCTTGTGGAAAAAGGAGCATCTCACAGTTTTGTGGCTGAAGCAAAGCCACCTACAGTTACTATGCCTCGAATCAAGGTAAGTTTGCCTTATTATTTTATGAATCATGGTTTGGCTCTTTTTGACGGTTTAGAGGGATCCTCTGTAATCTTAAGAGTCCTGATTTTAACTAAGTGCTATCAGACTGGCTAGGACAATAAAATACTGAAGGAGCCTCACAGGTTTGAACTGACACCAAAAGTAGAGTTCCTCCTTCCTGAGTTTATAAAGGATTTAAAGCTAGATTGTTTACACCAGCCTAACTCAAGAGATATGCTTGTGGGTCACCTGCTTTCTTCTTTAATCATCAGTGAGCCAGGGCTCGGGGCCTGTGGCTCAAGCGGCTAAGGCGCCAGCCACATACACCTAAGGTGGTGGGTTCGAATCTAGCCCGGACCCGCCAAACAACAATAATGGCTGCAACCAAAAAATGGCCGGGCGTTGTGGCTGGCGCCTGTGGTCCCAGCTACTTGGGAGGCTGAGGCAGGAGACTCGCTTGAGCCCAGGAGTTGGAGGTTGCTGTGAGCAGTGAAGCCATGGCACTCTACCCAGGCGCTCAGCTTGAGGCTCTGTCTCAAAAAAAAAAAAAAATCATCAGTGAGCCAGTTACAATCCTGGAAAGAGGCCTTAGTGCAGTGATTTTCAACTAGTATGCCAACAGTGAGAGGATCTTAGATATGCTGCAAAAATGTTATAGATCATTAATTAAATTATTTTTCAAAAGAAGTTCAAAGCACAGGAAGTGGTTTTTGCACTTTTTTTTTTTTTTGCAGTTTTTGGCTGGGGCTGGGTTTGAACCCACCACCTCTGGTATATGGGGCCGGTACCCTACTTCTTTAAGCCATAGGCGCTGCCCTGCTCTTTTTTTTTTTTTAATCAACATAATTTATCTCAGTTTAAGTGTGCCATAAGACAAAAAAGATTGAAAAACACTGCCTTAGTGTTATCAAGTTCAGTTTCTTGACTTTACAAATAAGGAAACAAACTCAAATCAGTTAAATGACTTGTCTAAAACTATGGCATAGCACATAGTGATCAAATCATCATGATCTGGCTGAGACAGTTTTCATCATTGCTGTATTTAACCTTTAGCTATTCAGCCTAGTGAGCATGGCTTTGAAGTGCTTTACCCAGGAACCATGGATAAAGAAAAAAGCAAAGTTTTATTGATTGCCTCAATAACTATTTATTAAGCAAGTACTGTGTGCTGTTATTTTAATGGCTATACAGTTGGGGAAAAATTGTATCTCTGCCTTCATGGAGCTCTTAATCTTGAATGAGATGCATAGACATTAAAATAAATGAGCATACAAATAAATGTGCAATTATAAAGTGTCCTTAGCACATGAGGGAACAGAACATGGTGTGATGCTCAGTGCAGGGTGAGAGAGTTCAGTTTAGATTAGGGGGACAGAAAAGCTTGAGGAAATTACATTGAAGCTGAGACTGGAAGTTTCAGTAAAAGGGTGGGGACAGAAAGGAGTAGAAGAGTTTAAAAGTTTGTATGTAGATATATTGCATATGAAGATGGCATAAAAGTCTCTGACTGAGCCTTACATGTATGGCTAAAGATGTGACTTACACTTTACTCTTTTGTAAGAAGGATCCACTTACTGAATTAAGGCTTTGGGCAACATTTGTAAGTGCTCAGTAAATGTTCCCTGGATGAAGAGAGCAATCCAGGATTGGAGGAATGCCAATGGCATATTGTTCACTGGATTTTTCTTGGAGGTTCTTACTTTCTCTGCCACTTTTGGATGTGGTATGTCCTTCATGCAGCCCCCTTTACTGAGCTCCACACAATGCTCTAGATGAGAGAAATTCAGTGAAGAGTAAGACAGCAATGTCCTCATATAGCTTACTTTTTTTCTAATTGGAGGGGCAGAAAATGTGTAAGTAAATGAATCAATAGTCCAAATTGCCTCAGAGAAGAATAAATGCTTTGGAAGGGATTAAGGAGAGGAATGTGGTACAGAGTGGCACGGAGTCACGGAGGGCATCTTGCCTCACAGTGCTCAGCAACAGCCTATTGAGAGTTGCTCCTGAAACTTGTGCTAGGAAAGCTCTAAGAAAGGCATCCAGGACTCTGTTTGTCAGGAACACAGATTTCTTTATCTGCTTCATCAGATGTCTGGAAGAAGCCCTTTTCTCCTTTATTCTGTTAAGAAAAATGTTACTAAGGCTCTGGGCAGATATGAGAAAAATGTATAAGGGAGTGTGTAGGCTCTGGGTTCTATTTAGCTCAGCATGTTAGCAGTGTGGTTCTTAGGGCCACCTACCTCCAGCCTATATTTCATTTCACCTTTGCTCCACCCCCAAAACAGTGTTTGATTTTCAGTCCTTCCCTTGGATTAGGGCTATATATCTCTGGATTTGGTGGGACTGTGTAGTGTTGTCTAAGGAACTAATCAGAAAAGGGACTTAGTTAATCTTCTGATGTGGACACTTGTCACTGCACACGGGACTGGATGTCTCTCAGCTGGCATCCTCAGTGTGCTTTCACTCACTCATACCCTACAGCAGTTTTGTTTTAAATTTGTACAATTATAGAATGCCTTTTTTTGTTTTTCTTTACTTTTAAAGTGAAAGCAAGTTTTATTTAGAAAGTATAAAAAGTGTACTCCACAGAGAGAGTAGATGCTGGTACTCCCTGCAGAGGAGAGCCAGCCTGAATGCCTTTTTTTCCTTCCAGGACTTTATAGTCATAGTAATAGCTGACAGTTATTGACAGCTCCCTTAGATTGGACAGTGAGCTACAACCCATTTGATTCCTCGGGTGAGTAGATACCAGATAGTCCCTGCCCTTTTTAAAAATATCAGTGGGAGCCTAATCTAGTGTGAGAAGGGAACTGCCTTGTAAAAGCCACAAAAGATGAACAGATTCAACTACCAGAAAACAGAAACCTTTTTTACAAAGTCAACTAACAATAAACCAAAAAAATTATTTGCAGTTTACATGACAAGAAAAAGTTAATTTTATGTATGTAAAGATGTTTAGATTAAGGACATACAACCCATTGGAAACTGGGCCAAGTATGTAAAGAAATCCAAAAAGGAAGACATTGAAATGGCTAGTAAACATGTGCAAAGATTCTTAACTTTGCTAGTAATCAGACGAAGAAAAACTGGAAACAGTCCATAGGCCAGTTTGGGTTTGTGATGTAAAAATTTAAAGATTGCTAACATCTACTTCTCATAGCAATTAGGTGAATACGTTCTGGTAATACTGCAGATATGAATGTATGTCATCTGAGCCATGTCTCCGCTGCCATCACCATAGTCCAGCCTGCTGTGGTATCTAGCCTAGACTCCGGAAGTCTCCTGACACCCTGGTTTTATCTTGACACAAATCAGAGCGTGCCACTCTGCTTCCTACAACCCTTAAGTGGCTTTTCCTCTGCCTGGCTTGCACACGGAATACCTCAACCTTGACCTCAAGGCTGTGTGTGATCCTGCTGATTCCTGTATCCTCATTGGAGTTACTTTCTCTCTGCCTGTGTCTTTCACCTTCGAAAATTACAACTGAGCTCCTCAAGTTTGCTGTTCTTTTCTGCCTGCGTACTTTATAATTGGCAGTGTTCTCCCCTGGAAAACCTCACCTCAAATTTTCATCCTTCAAGTCTCAGTGCAAATGGCATTTCCACAGGTATCTCTTTAAAGTAAATGTCCAAGACTGGATTGGTAGCTCACACCTGTAATCCCAGCACTCTGGGAGACCAAGGCAGGTGGATTGCTTGACTTCAGGAGTTTAAGACCAGCCTGAGCAAGAGTGAGACCCCATCTCTACTAAAAATAGACAAACTAGTCAGGTGTTGTCACAGACACCTGTAGTCCCAGCTACTTGGGAGGCTGAGGCAGGAGGATCACTTGAGCTCAGGAGTTTGAGGCTGCTGTGAGCTATAATACCACTGCACTCTACTCATGGCACAGGGTGACGCAGCCCTCTTTGGTCTTTATTATTTAAAAAAAATAATAAAGTAAATGTCCATTACAGTGGTAGTAGTTAAATACGTTATTATCCATCTACACACTGGAATACTTGTAGCTCTTTAAAAATGGAGAAAGTAGTTGTATGTTTCCTGGGGAAAGAAGTTAATGATACGTTGTTAATGGAGGGGAAAAAGCAAGTTGTAGAATGATTTGTATAGTTTGCTACCATTTTGGTGGGAAAAAAGTGAACTTTTTTTTTTTTTTTGAGACGTCTGATTTTGTCACCCTTGATAGAGTGCTGTGGCATCACACCTCACAGCAATCTCAAACTCCTGGCCTCAAGTGATTCTCTTTCCTCAGCCTCCCAAGTAGCTAGGAGTACAGGTGCCTGCCACAATGCCTGGCTATTTTCTTTACAGTTGTCATCCTTGTTTACCTGGCCCAGACTGGGCTCGAACCCACCAGCCTCTGTGCATGTGGCTGGTGCCGTAACCACTGTGCTACAGGCGCTAAGCCTAAACCATCTGTATATATACAGAAAGGAGTCCAGAAGGTAACTCACCAAAAGTAGCCAGTTGCCTTTAAGGAGTAGAATTTTGGGCAGAGGGAGGGACACATTTTTTAAAATAATTTTATTGAGATACAATTTTTATATGTACACATTTTAGTGTATGCTGTAGGTTTAACAAATGTGTATGTCCCAGCAGCCCCTACCTCAACTCTATTTTAATCTTCCACCCCAGGAATGGTGGTAGCTGTTGCTGTTATTTTGTTTCTGGTTTCTTTATATGGTGCCTTGCCTAAACTAATTGTGTAGAATCTGTCTCCCTCAGAGTGTGGAGCAACTGATACTGCTACTTAGGTTTTTATTTTTTTGTTTTTTGTTTTGTTAATTTTTACCCATCTTCCTGAGGGCTGCCCTTAGCTCAGCACAGCTCAGTGGTCAGCCAGAGTTTGAGCTTAGTACATTATGCAGTAGGGTATCTGCCCTCTGTTGAGGGATATCTCTGGGTTGGGACTCATGCGAAAAGACTCAAAGGCTGTTCAGTCTGTTTTCAAGCATGCCCTGACTCAATTTGTGTTCCTAAGTAGGGCTTTCTACTTAGCCAGGAGTGGGTAACTGGAGCCCTCTTTGGTCTCTCTTGAGTGTGTCTTCTAAAACCTAGGAATATGTAGGAGCTTACAAAAGTTGACTTTAACTGTCTTATTCCTCAGATCCCCTTTTGAAATTTCAGCCTCATCTCTTGCTTGCTTCACCCATCATGGAAGACTCCATGGAAGGCACTTGAGATGTTAGTTTTCTGTTGTGTTTTCACAACCTTCCCGGGTGTGGTAGGGCTTTTCCCTGGAGTCCACGTCAGGTCAGGACCCCCATGGCTGCTGCGTCATGGAACTGGGATGGGGAGGAGAACACCACAGGCATAATACTTGCTGTTCTTACTGAGATGTAGTAGCTTTTTTTGAATAAGCACTTTTCAACTTATTGCATAACTTTGGTGATCTGCAAAAGTTCAGAAATGATTGATTTTGACAGTTTCAAACAGTTCTATTATTGCTCTTGTGGGAGAGGATTGGCTAAACTCACTTGGGCATTTCAGAAGACTGGTTAATTCACATTTGCATTTATTTGATGTTAAAGACGTTTGGCGAAATTGGTATAGCTGTTAGTGTTTATCTAGAGTCCTACTATTTTTGGCACATAGACCCCTGGATGCCAGTGATGTGGGTGGCAAGTCACAGAGGTCCATTACCCTGAGCCTCCTAGGTTCCATGTTAAAGTCAGGGAGATTGTTAGCAAATATAGATTCCCCCCAAATATAATGCAGCCTAGAGGTTGGGCTCAAGAGAATTCCTGAGATTCCATTCTTAGGGACTGCATTCCTCCAGATTCTTCACTCAGAGGTCGACATTAGACTTGCTAGATTGTTAGACTTTGGAGTTTGTTACAGTTAATGGAGTTTGCTTGTCACATGGGGCAGATCTGAATCTTAAGTAGGAACCTACCAGGGTTTGAACACCAAATTCATGTTTTCACCACACTTCGCCATGTGCTTCAGTTCTGTTATTAATCTGTAGCTTATTTGACTGCTGCTGTTGTCTGGCTGTCCCTAGCCACCTTCTTCATCTTCTCATGAAGATGAAGCTGAAAGGATTGTTCTGAGCCATGAATGTTCTCTAATTAAGTCTTGATTGAGTTGGCTTTTTTTTATTTTTTTGGCCAGAATCTGTGTAGCTTTTCCTCCTCTACCCTAATTGCTGTCCTCGTGTTTAGTCAGCCTCCAGTATCGGGGCTGCCCTAGTTTCAAGCTCGCTTGTCACAGTAACATGATCTCCAGCATCCTCTTGCCTTGTGCTCTTGGATTCCAAGATCTGACCCTTGAATGTTTCTCACTGCAGGCATTGACTACCGGGAGCCTCCCTGGCTTTGTTGATGTCGTCAGGAACCTCAACTCTCCCACACTACTGGAAGACAATGTGATAAGACAGGCAAAAGCAGCTGGGAAAAGAATGATCTTTTATGGAGATGAAACATGGGTTAAATTATTCCCAAAGCATTTTGTGGAATATGATGGAACAACCTCATTTTTTGTGTCTGATTACACAGAGGTCAGTTTTTAAAATAAGAGAATTCTGTCATACTAGATAGAACCTGGCACCACCATTACATAGTGAGAGGCAGTATTATTTTGTAGGCAGCTTTCATTAATTTATTATGAGTCGAAGGGAGAGATAATCTACTTATATGATTGGATACAACCCACACATAAGCTCCCTGATGCAGATGTGAACAAAGTTTTATGGGGCCCAAAGCATAGGACATCCAAGCATCCTTTGAAGGTACAAAGCACTAGGATGGGTGGAGCTGTTTGGGCTAAGTTTGAGGATAAGTGGAGACAAGTGGGCAAGATGGGGCACCAGAGCCATAGGCTCTACGGCTGGCCTGGGATCCTTGAAGCTATTTGGTTCCACCCTGAGGGCAGGCAATGAACTGAGAAGAGCCCAAGGGGGCTTACCCTTACTTTTCTAACAAGAAGAGAGTGAGGTTGAACCCACATTTTAGAAAACTGACTCTGGAGCAGAGGCAGGAACACAGCAGTGTGTCTGTGCTTGGCACTGGAGCGGGCAGCCTCACTACTTGCTAGGTCCAACGCAGCATGTACAACCTGCTTCCCTGCAGTGGTTCCCTGTTCTGCGGTTCGCCTATATGTGGCTTTACTCAGAAACACTACTTTTGGTTGTAGATTTTCCGATGAGAGGAAGGTAGTCTAGCTGAGGGGTCCGGGGTAAACAGGCTAATGTCTATGTCTAGCGCTGCTCAACAGCTAATCTCTCCACGATTTGTTTATTTCAGAAATAAATGTGAGCAATGAGGGCAGAGTCTCTTTTCCTCTGAGAACAGACTTCTTGTAGGACGCATGTAGATGCCCTCAGCGTCACATCCTCCTGGTTACTCTGAGCCTCGGTACCGCCCTGTCTTTAGTCAACTGCCATTTGCCCTCAGTTTCTTCATGACAACTTTGGATCTGTTAACTTGCTCACTTGCTCACAGTTATGCCCAGCAGTGACCCCACAGAAAAAATTTTGTCAGAACAACTGATTTCAATTCTCTGTATAGTATGTTTGATCCTGCCCTAAAGTTATATAAAATAATATTAGTAAAAGTTTAATGCTAATGTTCATTTGTCTATTTTTAATGGCATGATATTTAGTCTTTCTACTCTCACAAGTCCTATTACCTAAATTTTCCTAGATTTTAAATTCCCTAGATTTTAAAATAACTTGCTGTTCTTTGGGGAGTAAAGATCAAGGGAAAATTAGGTGAACTGTTTATGTGTACCTTTTCCCCTTTAAAGGTGGATAATAATGTCACAAGGCATTTGGATAAAGTGTTAAAAAGAGAAGATTGGGACATGTTAATCCTCCACTACCTAGGGCTGGACCACATTGGCCACATTTCCGGGCCTAGCAGCCCCCTGATTGGGCACAAGCTCAGCGAGATGGACAACATCCTGATGAAGATTCACACCTCACTGCTGTCACAGGTGAGGCTCACTGTCGTGCTATGTGTGGCAATGGACTTTCACATGGATCCCTCCTAGAAAAAAATACAACTACCCAGGTGAACTCAGGTGACTTCTGTGAATGTCATGTCCACTATCACATGTCTACCAGCAACAGCCTCCAGGCCACATTCAGCACAGTTTCAGTCTTCTCAGCAACAGGGCGGAGACTATTGTTATCTCCCCCCACTTATTTGTTCATTTAACCACTTTTTTCTGCATTGCTGTTTCTGTTTGGACATTTGGGTATGTCAGTGAAACAGTCAACAATCATTTGTGAGCTTAGATTCTAGCTAAGAGAGACAAATAAGAAATATAATAAGTAATTGGTGCCAGGAGCTCTCAGGACAGAAGGATGGAATGGCACTCCTGTTCTAGGGAGAGGCAGTAGCTCATACAGAGATGCCATCCACAAGGAGTTGACTTGAAGGGAGGGATAGCAGACACATGTCTAGGCTATCCATTGCAGCAGGAGACACAGGGTCAGGTGAAGCCTGGTTGACACATCAAGAGCAGCAAAGGCTGAGTGGGTGGAGCTTTTGCAGGCAGAGGCGGCTGGCAGGCACACCCCACACAGGTCAGAGCTCTCCACATGCTTTGTGTCCTAGTGTCACAACGATCTTATGAAATAGATTCTGTTAGTATCTTGGTCTGACAGATGTGCAAACTGAGTGAAGTGTAAAGGCCAGTGTGTCCAGGGCCTCACTGCTTGCAAGTGGCAAAGATGAACCAAATTCAGATCCTCTGCCATCAGAGGCCATAGTGCAGCCCTGCTGTGTCCTGTGAGTTCTGTATAATTCTGTTTTATTTATTACATTATTTGGCTTTTACCCTTTGATCTAGCTATAAATTCATAGAAAAAGAATATCTAGTTCATTGAGAAGGAACTGCTGTTTATTAAGTAAAGCTAAAATCTAAAGTTGTTTTCTTAACTAGATCATGCATTCTCTTTAGTCAGAATGCAGTTGAAAAATATTTCTCCTTTGCTTTGCAGGAGAGAGAGGGTCTTTCACCCAGTTTGCTGGTTCTTTGTGGAGATCATGGCATGTCTGATACAGGGAGTCATGGCGCTTCTTCCACAGGAGAAGTGAACACACCTCTGATTTTAATCAGTTCTGCATTTGAAAGGAAACCTGGTGAGAATTCAGAAATATTTAAGATTTTGAAACTGTTATATCCGTTATCTGTGGTCTGGTTTTAATTTTTAAAAAACATTTTTGGCTCGGCGCCTGTGGCTCAAGTGGCTAAGGC